TCCCTGTTGGTCCCCAGCCTTTTCTTCTGGCCTTGACGGTCCTGGAAGTTGTGCCTCTCAGCTTCATCTTTGCTCTCAGGGTTCCAAGAGCCACACCAGCTGGTGATGGCTCCCTTTAAATGTCTTCCCTCCACTCGTTCCGCAGGCCAAATTCAAGTCTGTGACAGTGGTCAGCACCTTCGAGCTGGGAGCAGAGGAGGGCAGCGTCCTACAGCTGACCGAAGCCTCCCGGTGGAGTGAGGTGGGTCCAGAGGCCAAGGCTGAGAGCTGTGAAAATAGTGAGGGTGGGGATGGGGTAAGAGCACCTGTGGGCTTTTTCAGAAAAGAGGTGTCTTTATTAGGTAGCGATCAGGGAGTCAGAAGTAATGCATCGGGATGCTAGGGTCCCCCCCTTCCTTCATTCCTGACTCAGTTTCTTTCCCTTTAGTCTTCTGTTTCGAGGCTGGCTTCGCTATAACGTGGGGTGAGGCTAGCTGTGTGAAAGGGTGCGAGTTAAAAACAGCTCTCCTCCCCCTGCAGAGCCTCCTGGAGGTGATTCAGACCCGCCCCATCCTCATCTCTCTGTGGATCCTCATCGGCAGTGTCCTGGGAGGGCTACTGCTGCTCGCTCTCCTTGTCTTCTGCCTTTGGAAGGTGAGCACTGTTTTAGTGCGGAGCATGGGACATGGTGCCTATAAGTTGAGGGATCCTTGATCGTAGCAGGCATCCTTGATCGCGTTGGGCAGCTAAGCAGGCCGTGGGTGTCGTGCCTGGATCTCCTTCACTGTACTCCACGAATGTTGGTTGAATTAAACTAAGCCAAATAAAATAAAATTGAATTTCATATTTGGAAGCAGAACAAAAGTGAAGACTTCAGATACGTCTGAGGGCTGTTGGCAAGGTCCCCAGGCAGGGCGTTTGACGACGACTCTTATCTCTTCCTCTACAGCTTGGCTTCTTTGCCCGTAAGATCCCCGAGGAAGAGAAAAGAGAAGAAAAATTGGAGCAATGAATGTAGAATAAAGTCCTAGAAAGTTCTCCCTGGCAGCTTCTCCAAAAGACTTTCATAAGAGCAGAGGCTTGGGGCCTCACGTGGGTCAAGAAGAAGCTTCTGGACTATGTCCCCAGACCTGCGGCCTGACTTGACTTTTGAGTCATGAGGATGCGGCTGGCAAGAGATGAGGCCTCACCTCAGACAAGAAGGGCTGACACCCACACCAGGAACTCTCCGACCTTCTGCTTTCCTCCTCATCTGCTGGTTCCACAGCCAACGCTGGGGCCCTTTTTGCCATAACCCCAGGAATCGAGAATTTTTTGCCCAGGTCCCTGACTCCTTTCAAATCCCCTCTAAATCCTCCCTCGCAATTTGGAAAGGGCGAGGGTTACCTTCCTCCACTCCCTGTCTCTCACCTTCCTGCCTGCTCCCTGCTCCACAGGAGGGAGCTGACGTTGGCTTGGAAGAAGTAAAGTCAACATCTGCTGCTTTCCTGTGGAGTCTGGTGATTCAGAAAGCCGGATGGGGAGAGTCAACAGGAAAAAAGGAGGGAGGAGAAAAAGCCACAAGAGACATTCTGTACAATTCCAAGGAACAGAGAAGCCTTTAGACAGGCAACTGCCATCCCCCTGAAACCTGAGACTTCATGGTACACTCTCCCGCCCTCAGGTGCTGGTGAAACAGGCCTGCTGGGTATGGGTTTCCCAGCTTACACCCTTCCCTGGGAGCAAAGCCAGGACGGGTGCCCGATTCTCTGGAGCCGAGGGCCCCCAGGTGGCTAGAACTGGAATAGCAGCGAGGACCGGCTACGGCAGGCAGCGTTCTCTCTCCTCTCTCAGGCGGCACATACTCCGGAGCCCTCCTGGGCCCTCCTGCAGAGAAAGGAGAGGATTGCTATCTGATGGTGGGAAACCCTTTCACCTTACCAGCTTTGGAAAGCAGCGGCCCCATGGGGCCTGAACAAGCGGGTCTGCATTAAGGAGAAAGCCAAAGTGGGCGGCCCTTCTGCGGGGAGCAAGCCCTTCCTAGCTCGGCACTGGCTGTATAGCACGAACGTTTCTGGGGCAACTCCAGTCCCACGTAGGGCTTCTCTGGTGGAATCAGCTTGCCAGCCCCTGCCTGATGTCTACGAAAAATCCTCAGAGATTTCTATCTCTGGATCATCCTCCCTACCCCTGCCTTCTACAGCTGACCGAACCCAACCCCCTGACTCCTGACGCCCTCCCCCCAACCACCACACACACAGCCCCTGCCATATTTTGGTCCTAGCCAGCAAAGAGAATTTGATTCTCATCGACAACTAGGTAACATATTTCTTCAGAATCAGGACTTCGGGTATCAAAGTCAGTTATTGGTCCCCAGATGGCAACTCCGACAGCCATTGGAAGAATCAGCACCCATGCAGAGCCCAGAAGAGAGGAGACCGATGGGGCAGTGGACTGGCAGCTACAGAACCTGCCCTCCAGGGCTGTTCTCCTAGCCTGGCCACAATATTTATCTTGGCATGTCTCCGGCCTTCTTCAGAGGGCATCGTCTCTGTTTCCCAGCAGGGTGGACAGTCTATCAGATGGCCAGAACAAATAAAGTTCAGTGTCAAATGACTTCTGGCTCTATTTGAGTTGCCCAGGATATGGACTGCTTAGAAATGGTGAGAGGTGATTCTTGGTTCGCCTGAGACCCTTATACAGTTGAATCCCTGGAAGGCAAAGTTATGAAGTATTTGAAATGTTTTCTGTGACTCTGCCGGTGGAGATGTGCCCTAGGCTCCTGGAATCCTTACCTGCTTAAGTGACCATAGACTGTAAAACATGTAGGTTTGGGAAGCACATAGGCCTAGATTGAAATTTCATGCCATTTATTAGCCATGTGGCCTTGGCCAAGTCATAACTACCCCAAGCCTCAGATAACAATAAGAGGCAGTGTAATACAGTGGTTAAGAATGAAGACAGACTTGGGTTTAAATCTAAGCTATACTACTCAAAACTTGTTTGACCTTGAACAGATTTAATGTCTCTACATCCTGGATTTTTTGGTCTTTAAACTTATTAGGGTTGTGAGGACTATATGAGATAATTCAAGTGAAGTGAGCATATAGTAAGTACTCAAGAAATGGTCACTGTTATTATTATGAAAATATCTCATTATTAAATAATCTCCCCTCACCATGGATTGTGAGGATGGAGTGAGAAGGTATCTTGAAGCAGCAGCTGATGCTCCCGATCTGGCGACCCCCCTTCACAGAGTCTGAAGGTTTGTTTCTTCTCTGTCCTATTGTCTCCTCCCACTAAATCTTATCCTGTGCCTCATCCCCTTTGAAATAAGCTCTCATGCCCACTGAGGTGATAATTAGCTAATTAGCTTAAATTGTAACAGGAGAAATCAAACCTAGTGGCTTTCTTTAGACACCTAGGGTTCTTCTAGTAGCCTCAAGGAACATGTGCCCTTCAGCAAAGGCCTTCTAGAGACCATGTCTCCGCCTCTGTTACCTACCCCTGAGATTGGCAGCCCTTCTGGCCTATTAGGCGGGGACAGCCATTCTGTGGCAAGCTGGTGAGTTATTTTGTGGCAGGAGGAGTCCACAGTGGCCCTCGGTGCATTTCATATAGGCTACTTGATCAAAAGCTTGATCAACTTTTACAGAGCATACTGTTTCTGGGTCTGCGTCTGAGATCATGCTTAATTACACTGACAGATCTCCCCGCTTTATCCCCAGTCAGCCCCCAAAGGGAGATGGATTTCCTTGAGGACTGGTTCATCTAATTCTTTATCCATATGATTAAAAGAGCACTTTTAATATTTTTGTCCACCTAGAGATCCCTCCTCTCTCTATCCCTCAGCTCCAGACTGGGACCTTCTCTAACCTCAACCTGTTCTTCAATAAGCCTGTTACCTTTTCCTTTGGAGCAGGGCCGGTTTGAGAAGCAACCGTAGAAACGATAGGCTCTCCCGACACAGGCATGTTCCTTTCTTCAAATTGTTGCTCCTTTGTTCCTTCATTCATTCTTTCATTCATTCACTCACTCACTCATCAGACATTAAGCATACAACATGTGCCGGACAATGAGAATAATATAAAATGCAATTCCTACCATCAAAGAGCCCAGTCTAGTAGGGGAAAACAGACATGTAAACAAATACTGGCAAATATTGAGAATTGGTTGCTATACGGCACAGCAGTATTAAAAGTGTGTCACATGCAAAAGGCACACTTTTTGGAGGGTAAGGTGGCAGGGTTTTGAGGGAGAACTTTTCAGGAAAAAAAAAAACATTGGCTTGAGGGGCCACCAAGTGTGAGAGGAGGCATTCCAGGGAGGATTAAACATCAACCGGGAAGGAAATTGTAGCAGATCAAAACAGCCTGAGCATGGGGCCACGAAAGTCGTGAGATGAGACTGCAGAAAGCAGGGTGCAGCTCCTGATGAGCCTGTAAACCACTTGAAGTATATTGAGCTTTATCCAGTGGCTTTCTTACGCTTTTGAGTGGGCTTGCTCTGGCCACCGGGAGGGGAAGGGGGGGAAAGAGAGATGGAGAAACAGACAGAAAGGGAGAGGGGGAGGGAGAGAGAGAGAGAGAGAGAGAGACACACACACACACACCAACCCCCGCCCCCCCCACCGGTAGACTAGTTGACTGCGACTAACTCACTCACTGAGAGTCAGAATTTAAAGGGCAGTGGAAATAGTAAATACAGTTTTGTGGGTTTCTTTAAAGAAGAAGGAGTGCTTAAAATAAAATTTCTCTCCTCCCCCTCTGCCGTTTTCTAACTTACAGGTGCGTTAGGAGGTTAAGCCTGTTCCGCTTTCTTTCTGGTTTTGTTTCCCAGGTTGCGGCGGGTAGTGCATGGTCCGTCCGCGCTCCGTCTTCTGCTCAGCGCCGCACTGCAATCGCCTCTCGTTTCCAAACTGTTCTCTTCATATTCTCCTTTGTGCCTGGATTTTTGGCCGTGGAACGGCGGGGAGGAAGTACTAGTAACTAGATTGGGGAAAAGTCTCTGAATATAATGAAAGCGTCCTCACCAGCGGTTAAATGCGACAATTGACTAGCGCAAAGCGCGGGGCGAGAATCCTGTACCTGCCCGCCCCCCGCGGCGGCGCTCAAAGGGGCGGGGCCGAGGGTGGGGCTGGGTTGGTTTGGGGGCGGAGCCTCGGCCTGAAACAGCGGGGAGGGCGGGGCCGGGTTCCTTCTGCGATCGAGCAGGTCGGAGCTGGGGGCGGGCTCCGTCTGGGGGGCGGGGTTTGAGCCCAGTCCAATTCGCAGTCAAAGAATGCAGACTTTTTGCCTCTGCAACAGCGGAGCGGGGCAGGGCCAGGGGCGGAGTTTTAAGCCCAGTCCTCGGGTTCTAATTTCTGATTGAGCGGAGCGGGTTCTGGGGCGGGTCCCGCTCTGCTTTTGACAGCTCTCTTTTGCACAGCCGCCTCCGAGTTCAGTGGGTTCGGAAACCTGTGGCCCCATTCTCCGCGCGTCCCCGTCCCCCCGTGGCCCTGGCCCTGGCACCGGCCATGAAGCGCATCTTCTCCTGCTCCAGCTCACAGGTGGCGGTAGGTGCCAAAATATCTGAGACGACGGGTATGGGGCTGGGGTCCAAGCCCTGTGGCGACAGGAGTCCCGAGTCCCATCTCCATATACCATTGCCTTTACTCTTTATCGGTCTCTCCAGCTCTTCCACTTTCGCAATGCAGCCCGCCAGTCCTGCCTTCCTCAAGACCCTGTCCCTCGGCCTGTGGCTTCCCCGAGGTCCTTTCCCTTGGCCCTTTCTTGTCCTTCTATCATATACACCCTCAACTTCCGATTTGTTTCCTGCAGCCCCTGCCCCTTCCTGAAGGTCCCGTCCTCTACTTTTGCTCTGTCTCCCAGTACCAAACCACCCTCAAGTATCTGCCCTGTCCCCAGCCCCAGCCGAGCCCCAAGTTCCATTCTCTCTCCCAAGTCCTGCTTTACGGTCCCATTTTCCAGCCTTGCCCTGTCCTCACAACCTTGTCCTCCCATATGGTCCTATCCTTGCTGTTTTCTCTCCGCCCAGCGAGGACTCCCAGCCCAGTGCCCACTCCTACCCCTTCTTCACAGTCTTCTCTGTCCATGCCGCTTCCACTCTCATCCTCTCATCTTTCCTGCTGGCTCATTGCTCCAAACCTCTTTCCAATTGGGGCTCCCACGACAGCAGCCTTCTCTCTCTCTCTCTCCCCTTCAACTTCTGTCCCTCTCTGCCCAATGGTTGTTCAGTTCCACTCCCCCCACCCCCCTTTGCCCCCTTTGATCTCTTTCTGCCTGCCCTCTGTGGGTTAATCTTGCAGTCTGGCCAGCCTGACAGGCACTGCCAGAGGAGGCAGAGTTGCCTGGCTGCTTCCCAAGGAACTAGGTAAGTTGCCTGCAGAATCGATCCTGGCCAGTTCACTGCAGTGTCTGGTCATCAGACCGGTTCTTGGGCCAGTCAAGGCCTTCTGCCTGCTTCTCCCCAGCATCCTCCTTCGTTCTCAGCCCTCACGCAGTTGTTAAGAGCTTGTACTCTCTGATTCCTTCGACTGAGTACGGGAAAGGCGATGGTGAGAGAAGAGGAGAGTGGGTTCGCTCTGCGAGTTCCTAGTGGAAGTCACTCTGCTTCCCACGGTCTCCCAGATTACAGAAGGTGGTGGCTCAAGGAGGCCATAGATTCTTCTCTCTGAAGATCTCTTATAGAAAAAACCCCATCTGCAGTTGGCATTTTCTGCGGAGAATGGAGTTATGGCTCATTTAGAAGTGAAGTTGCCAACTACCTGTACTAATATCACTTAGCCTAACCTGACCTAGTGATGTCATTCACAAGCAAATGTGAGAAATGCTTAAGCGCCCTCTGCATGGGCAGGCCACCGAAGCCTGGAAGCGAGCTATGAGGCAAGAGTGGGAACTGTTGAGGCCTGTCCTTGTCCCACTTACATTTGCTTCTCCTCTTAGTTTCTACACGTCGATCAACAAACCAAAAGGCCTCCACCGAATGACTCCTATCGGTACCCAAAACGGAGGCTACCCAGACTCTGTCTGAACTCACAACAATTTTCTTATTCGCGTGGACTCTTCCTCGATACTGAAAGTCCTCCACATTGCCCTTCCCTCGAGGGTGTGTGTAGTCTGCCTGCTCTTTCGGAATGGGGAAGCTATGTCATCCTTCCTGATTCTCCGATCCTTGGTTAGAGCCTCCTTTCCAAGAGGCTGGATGAGCAATGAGCTGAATGTTGGAATTTGAAAGTATTTCTCTGACCTTCTCTACCTCAGCTCTACCCAGGTTTTGCCGTGAAGAATTTCCACCCATTCTAAACTCTTCTTGGTATAAGATTATAGGAAGTAGCATAATAAGATAAATTGAGTGGATTCAGAACTCTCCAGCTGGAAAGAAAACTGTTTCCTCAGTCACGATGAAATGATAAAAACCTGGAAAATAGGCCAGTTTCAGCTACAAATTCTTTCCTCATAAAACTTTCCTATACTTCTCATAATAAATTCCTCCATTCCCTGAGTAGCTAACCATTCTGGATGTGTTTATCAGATAAATAGTGTGACAACCTTTTGGGCCACTCCCAAAGCCTGGCTTCCCAGTCACATGGGAAGACTGCCCCTTCCCACCCCTCTCCCACCCTCGGGGGCTGGGGCCAGAGCCCTGCACTCTCAAATTGAGATAAGGCCTGAAAGGTCAGCGATCATTTAAAAATTAATATAAATTCTCCAGAATATAGGAAATTCAACAAACAAACAAAACCCAACTTCTGTAATCTCATTTTATTTTAGTCGAGTAGAGGATGCCTTTGGGGGTGTCTTACACATTAGCTGACTCTGCCTATGTAGGAAGTGGACCAGAAAATAGCTTTAAACAGTTGGAACTGGATCAGCTTAGAGGAATGTCAATTGCATTTTAAAACTGGAGTAATTGCAGGGTCCCCCAGGGCAGCCTTTCATTTCTTCATCTGTCTTACAGCCATAGTCATTCTTCCTTGACTGTTAGTGTGCTTACAGTCTTCATAGGAAGCTTATAGGCACACAGCCAGAGATAAGGACAGGCTGCAATTACTTCTACAAAGGCCCCCTAATGTGACTAGAGAAATACAAAGCTTATCCTCGCATTTGAGTCTGCTGATTAATTTGGTGATTGCTCCCTCGAGGCTGTGATGGTAATCCAGTGCCTCTTTCAAGGTGCTGGGTGAGCAATGGACTGGATCTTGGAATTTAGAAGCATTTCTCTGTCTTCTTCACCTTAGCTCTACAGAAGTTTGGTCACGAAGAATTTCCACCTATTTGAACTTCTCCTTTGTATAACAAGATTATAGAAGTAAATTGGGTGGATTTAGAACTATATAGCTGGAAAGACAAGTATCTACATTGCTAAGAAATAACTTTACTGTCTACAAGGCCTGGCTGTTAAGCACGGGCTGATATGAGCAAAATCTCTTCCTTCCACTCCCATGGATGGAGAATTCTGAGCCTGGGAACATCCAAAATGTGCCCAGCAAGGCTAGGAAGTGTGGGGACTGAAACCAACATTCATCGTACACTTACTATATGACAGACACAGTGCTAAGTGCTTTATATGATGTCATAACATCAGAAAACTGAGGTTCAGAGAAGTCATTACATGTCTACATTCACAAGGATATAAAGGTTTAGAATCGGGATTTTAAGCAGAGGATTTCTCACTGAGGTCAGTCGATGGCAGTGTTCAGTGCTGGAGGTGTCATTCTGGGTCTCTGCTTTTACCGAGAGTGACCTGCCCCCAGGGAAGAGTGGATGATGTATTCTCACATCTCAGTCAGTTGGTATGTGGAGCAGTCATTTTGCTTATTTTGTCCTTTGAGAATTAACCTGTTTGGAGACTCTTGTGCAGAAAGTTGCTGCTGAGAGTGGGTGGCTCTGCCTTGGAGGCAGTCTTAGACCGTTTATTGGGAAATAAGTAAACTATCTTCCATCTTTTGCTAGCGGTGTGGTTCAGTGGTGAGAACTAGGACTGGGCATCAGGTGGCCTAGGTTCTAATCTCAATTTCCCCACCATTCTGTGGTATGAGTCTGGGCAGTTATCTAACCTCAGTGTGCTTCAGTTACTTCTGTCAAGTAGATAAAATAATATCAGCCCTACCTACTTTCCAGGGATGTCGAGAGGCTAACTAAACTAGCACTTGAAAGGCCTATGAGGGATTACAAGTACTGTCCTGGAGAATTACCTCAGAATCTGTCTACCCTAGATAATTTTATGGTTGAGGCATTTAAAACCTTTCCTGTTTTGGCTGAGTAATTTGCCCTGGCTATGTAAACAGTATTTGGAAATGAGTTCGCTGGCTTCCATAGACCCTATTTTTTCCCACCTCCACCCAGAGCCTCTTCCTGGTTGAGATTACACCTCATAAATGCAACGTGCCACCACCAATCCCCGTCACTTCCTGTTTTGTCATAAGGATGCAATACGCTCATAAGGCTCATCGTGGTTTACAGAGATTTTGTATACATTCGTTGATTTAATACTCACAGCGTGATGAGGTAGTTATTATTTCCCACATTTTATAGATGAGGAAAGAGGTTAGAGGTGTTTAATGGCTTACTCGAGGTCACAGAGCTAAAAACGTAGCCGAACCAGGCCCTGAACTCGGGCCAGCTGACAAAATAAATATTCATCAAATGTTTGCATCCCTTCTTCCCTTGCCTCCCCCTCTCTGGATCGAACCAGGCTCCGGTGTTTTATGCAGCTCTCTCTTTCACACCCTGTGATACTTCTAATTATTGTAATCGCCCCACCTCCTGCAAAAAGTCAAGCTGGAATGATAGAACAATGCGTGCCAGGTGTGGCTGTCGTCTGGGACAGCTGCTCCCTGCCAGGAAACGAGACAGGGTGCGGAGGAGGGGAGCCGCCTCTTGCTGCCTCCTCTAGCCCAGCCAGAGGCCTTCGTTTGCCTGTCGGTGATGCCAGGGAAAGCGAAGAGCAGCCAGGGAAAGGGCAGAGATACGAGATGGGAAAACTGAAACTCTGTGCTCCTCTTCCCGGTTTTGGGGCCCAAAGCCAAGGGGTAGAAGTGGTCTGGCTACGTATTTGAACTGGCTGTGCCATGAAGCTAGGTGCCTTGATTTCTCAAATGTCTGAAGGCAAAATGCAGAGCTGCATGGGAAGGTGAAAGGCAACGTGAGCCCAGCAAAGGGTGGGTTCAGTTCACTCCAGCAAGACCTAGAGAGTGAGGCTAGGCTCGCTCCGAGTGCACCGAACAATAATCGTGTTAATGATTAAAAAGACAATTGCAATATTCTGCATTCGGCACTCAAAAATGATCGTTAATTCAGTAGTTTAAGCACCTTTTGGTCCAGGGCTGGAAATAACGGGCAGCAGCACTCAGTGCCATAGGAGTTGGTGACCATTTAACTGGCCCACCTAAGAAGGCTGAAATGATCTAGGCTAAATGACTTGTGGAACATTGAAAGGACCTCAAGGATGTTCCTGGCCCCTGGCTTGGCATCGTCCTAAACACCGCCTCCTTTTCTTTCTCCACTGCACCCCCACCCCCTCTATTCGCACAATTCATGGCTCTGGAACCAGGTGGAGAGATGGAACCGCCGTGATCAGAAGCTGCTGGAAGCAGTGCAGCGGGGGGACGTGGGACGCGTGGCCGCCTTGGCCTCCAGGAAGTCCGCCCGACCCACCAAGCTAGACTCGAACGGCCAGTCCCCGTAAGTAAGTCCTCCCGGCCCCACCCTCGGCATGTGGTTCTTTTGAAAAGCTCCAAACCCGACTATGATATAGGACCAGGAAATGCCTACAACTTCAGCGCTGTCTTTGTGTTAATAAATCTTTACTACATATCTGGCGCTGCACAAAGTGAAGGAAGAAGATACTGTCCCTCAGCTCCACCCGGATGGACAAAACTGACCCCCCCAAGAGGACATAAAGCCCATGAAATGAAGAGAAATTTGATACATACACTAGATAGGGTATTTCTTCATTGCATAAGGAGGAAGGTGTGTACGCTTGAGAAATTCAGAATGAAGTGGTAATCGGGAGTCACATGACTAGAAGGAGTGAGTCGGACGAAAGGGATATTACCCCCTGTCTGTGCCCAGGTTGGCCTCCAGCCCTCTGCTCTGCTCCAACTGACTCTTTCTGTGGCACCTTCCGTCTCCTGGGGGTCCTGAGCCTGAGTAGTTATGTGTCCTTGGACACCCCTGCAACAGTCTGAGATTGCTCGAGACCTGTAGCTCTTATTCTTGTCTTTACTTCCAGTGTTCCCCGACTTTATGACCGTAGGCCACCGATATCGCCTTCTCTGTCTCAGAAGTCAGGCCAGGGGAGTTTCGTTCTCTGCTTTTGGGACTGAGTTTGGGGTGAGGGAGCATAGCAGGCATCGCTTATTAAGATTCTCCCGTTCCTCATCCCCTGGTCCCTCATCCTTCTGCCTCTCGGCCTTGATTCTGGCAGGTTTCATCTGGCAGCCTCCAAAGGCCTGACAGAATGTCTGACTATACTGATCGCGAATGGGGCTGACATCAACAGCAAGAATGAGGACGGTGAGTTAGACCGAGCACTGGGCCGCGCTGCTCACTTTTCCCTCTACAGCAGCGGTAGGGGCCGGTGCTGGCCCCTGCTGGGGGTGCCAACTGCAGCCCCCTGCTTCTCGCCTCATAAGTTCTGGCCAGCATCCTTCCAGGGGTTCCCTTCCCCGCCAGCTGGGTATACCTCACCCACTTCCCACCTCCACCCCAAGTACCAGGCACTTGGGAAACAGGAATTTCTGGCCCTGTGTGGCTGAGAGCTTCTCTCTCTAATCTCCCTCTGATTATCTGTGCGTCTCTTGCCTTCCCTCCCTGTGAGTCACCAGCATGCATGGGGCCACCCACCTCCCTCTCCCCTTCTTTCTCTTTCCAGGAAGCACCGCCCTGCACTTGGCCACCATCTCTTGCCAGCCACAATGTGTCAAGGTCCTGCTCCAGGTAAGAGCAACCCCTCGATACTACTACGCCTGTGAAGGGAGGAAGTGAACCCAGAGTTTCCTTGTTTTTTCTTGACGTCACAAGCAATGTTTGGTCAAATATTCCCTTCTCATCCCCAATAGGAGAGCTGGTAATCATTTACTCATTAATTTACAAACATTTATTTAACATCTGCTATGTGCAGGCACCATGCTTAATGCTGTCCCTGAGGGCAGGTCACATAGCAGAGTTGCAAGGGACTGACTGCTCATCAGTTAATATGCATATACTGAGCTGCAGAGACTAGTTCCTGTGAGCCTGCACAGGCAGAAGGGGGGCAGGGGTTTTCAAATTAAACCCAAATCCTACTGTCTGCTTTTGAGGAGCTGGTGGTCTGGGAGCGCAAAGAAAAATATTCACGTGAAACGGCATGTGGACAATTGATAAATAAGTCTCCAAAAGTACAAAAGGTCTACGGCCATGACGCCCTGAACAAGCCCGATCCCGTCTGGTCTCAGAGGTTAAGCAGGGTCAGGCCTGGTTAGTGCTTGGATGGGAGACCACCTAGGAAGACCAGGTGCTGTAGGCGTAAAAACAAACAAACAAACAAATAAATAAATAAAATAAGGGATTGTAAGCTGACAAGGTCCTTGCAATCTGTGAGGTCAACCAAGGGGTGCCTCGCCTAAAAAAAAAAAAGTACAAAAGGCACAGTTCAACAGGCCATTGGGCAAGTGACTGTCCTGTGTTTGCTCCTCTCAGCTCTTTCCAAGTTCCTCAGTTATGATCCTAGAGTACCAGTCATGGACTCAGGTGTTATTTTCCCTAGCTTGTTTATTTATCTATAATCTGGTTTTTCTTAGGCCCTAGGTTTAAGAACCAGGGCTGAAATTCAAGGCCGCCTACCATCTGCAAGACATGAATTGCACTTGCCTAGTAGTTGGCCAAAGCCATGGTCCTTCCACGTTTCCTCATAGTAATACGGAAGTTGGTTACTCAACGGTGGGTATGGGATGGAGACATTAACACCATGCTCCGTGCTGCTTCCCTTGGTGGCTGTTTGCAGCATGGTGCCAACGAAGATGCTGTGGATGCGGAAAATCGTAGTCCGTTGCACTGGGCAGGTGTGTGTCAGGGGACCGGTGAGAAAGAGGGATGCGGGGACCATAGGGCGGGAAGGGAGGGGAGGGTGACATCTGCTGGGAAGGGCAGGCCGGGGCCGGCTGCTTAAATGGTCGCAGAGGATGTTGGGTCACGGTCTGACTAGATGTCCTTCCTGTTTCCCCTTAACCTAATTGTCCCTCAACCCTCCCCAGCCTCCTCTGGCTGTGCCTCCAGTGTGCTCCTGTTGTGTGACCACGAAGCCTTCCTGGACGTCCTGGATAATGTGAGTGTGAGCTGGGCGGCTGGGCAGTGCCCTACACCCGGAGGCTCCTGCTCTCTCTGAGCCTGACTGGCCAAGCTCAGTGACCTAGGGTTGTGCAGCGCCACCTCCTCTTCCTCCTCCCCTCTTCCTCTCAGAGCAGTTAAGCCTTACCTTCTGGAGAGCTTCTAACCCTTTGAAAAGGAGTATTTAGCCCGGACCTGGGCTTTTTTCCTGGAGAGGTGCAGGGTGAGGGAAGTTGGCAGAACTGTGTCAAACGCTGGCTCCCCCTGGCTTCTCACGGAGCTTCTTTCCTCAATCTGTGCAGGACGGACGGACACCCCTTATGGTTGCCTCGCTGGGTGCTCACGCAGCCATCTGCTCACAGCTGCTGCAGAGAGGGGCCCGAGTCAATGTCACAGACAAAGATGACAAGTGAGCCTTTCCCTTCTTCCTACCCCAAATCCAGACCCTGACCAACCTAGAAGGGAGCCGCAGGGCAAAGTGTGTGTGTGTGTGTGTGTGTGTGTGTGTGTGTGTGTGTGTGTGTGTGTGTGTGTGTTAGCGCGCGTGTGCGTGCGCGCGCTGGGGAAGAAGGCAGGTTGGTCCTTTTTTCCAACAAAGAATTTATGCGGAACCTTAATACATAAAGCAGAGGAAAATGGAGCCCTTCCCACTGGCCCCCCGCTTTCTGATGCTGCAGCTCCAAGGAATGACATGTGAAAAGTTCTGGTCTGGCCTGATGCTTTGTCGCTGGCTGGTGTTGGTCTGTGGTTCTCCTGCCCACACGGAGGGAGAGGTGACCTCGTGAGTGGAATTTCTGGAGCTAGGATTCCTGGATTCCACGGGGAACGCCTGTGCTCAGATTCGTCCCAACCCACAGATCGGCCCTGATCCTGGCCTGTGAGAAAGGCAGTGCCGAGGTGGCTGAACTGCTCCTGAGCCACGGAGCCGACGTGGGGGCGGTGGACAGCATGGGGCACGATGCTTTGTACTACGGTATGCGCACGCAGGACAAGGCGCTGTGGAAGCTGCTGCAGCAGGCCCTGAGCCGCCGGCGGCGGGGAGGTAAAGCCGGTCCCTTTTGTGACTTCAAGGTTCTCCTTGATAACCTTAGATTCAAAGAAGTTCCCCAGAATCCCATGTGTTCCCATGGACATAATTCATCTGACAAATAATTGTCAGTTTAGTTGAGGGTTTACTTATTTATTGCTGCTACTATGAGATGACCCCACATTCCCAAAAGCATGGTCACAAAGTCCCTAGCGAAGCCTCGTCTCCCACCGAAGGCGACTCTGACCAGTATTACCGCCAGCATTTCTGAATTGTAATTGTACGTCTCTTTGTGTGATCTGGGTGTCAACCTCTCTCTCCCCTAGTTGATGGTAAACCCCTCAGATGACCAGCCATTTCTGTTTTGCTCATCATTAATATCCCGGTGCCTGTAACGGTGCCTGGCACGTTGTCTAATGAGTGAGTGAACAAAATAAATGAGCGGGCACATCTCTGAGATAGGGAACCGAGGTTGCCAGGTAGTTAGGGACACACCGACTGCTGGCACCAGGAAGACATGTGTGGCCGGAGTTATGACACTGTGAGGGCCACTGCTCTCAGAGGGTCCGAAGACATAGTGTGGGCTAGAGGCACCTGGGGTCTGTCTCTGCTCTCATTTCCCCATGTCTTTTTATACAGGTCAGGAGCTAGCTCAACATCCGGATGTTGCATCTAAGGTAGGCCCCTAAGCACCTCCCCTTCCGATCCACCCCAGGCCACCCACTGGGCTCTCCCGGGCAGTGCCGCATGGGATGTCAGGACACTGTAGGAGAAGAAAGGCCCAGCTGGGGCCGGGAGAGGTGCCCGGCTTTCCTCCACTGTTCTGTTTCCTACACAGGCCCCTCCATCTGAGCCTCAGGTGGGGTCTCCACCTAAGAACTCATGGAAAGCAGAGCCCGAGGAGGAGCAGGAGGATGAGGAGGACGAAGCCCCATGCTCAGACGAGTGGAGGTGGAAGTATGAGGAGGAGCGGCGGAAAGTTTCTAAGCTGGAGCAGGAGCTCGGGCGAAAGGAAGAAGAGTGTAAGGCTCAAGCAGCAGCCTACCTGGGCCTGGAGAACCAGATTCGCGAGCAGGTGCAGGAGCTGGGGCTCCTGTTATCCCAGGAGCTCGGAGCTCCAGGAGGCCAGGGCTCCCCTCTCCGGCCTGGAGGAGATGGCATGGAGCAGGGCTGTCCCCTGGACCTGCTGGCTGAGCGCATACAAGAGCTAAAGAAGCAGCAGCGGGCAGCAGCCGCAGGTGCAGCAAACCTGGTGTTGGCTCCTGAGAAGGCTGAGGATTCGGCCCCAGGGGAGGGCCCTTATAAAGCCCATGGAAGGTCCCAACCAGAAGAACAGAGGCCACTCCAGAGCCCAAGGTCAGAGACCGTGGGGAACATCACAGGTCAACAACTGCCTGCCAACGGCGGAGAGGCCCTAGGCCCTGATCATACTGAGCAGCTGCTTAATGGCCAGAAGGAGAGGCCCCAGGCCCCAGGGGCCAGACCAACAGGCACAGTGGTTGAGCCAACGGGCACAGCAGCCACGCCCCAGCTCCTGCTACAGCTGAGGGAGGAACTGGCTGCAGTGTGGCGGGAAAAGGATGCTGCCTGGGGCGCTTTGTCCAGACCGGTCCTGGAAGGAGCTCTGGGCACACCCCAGGCTGAGGCTGCTGCAGCTGCCTGGGAGAAGATGGAGGCCAGGTTGGAGCAGGTGCTGGTGAGGCTGGATCGGGCAAAGGCGGGACTACAGGAAACACCTGAGGCCCCTGCCCAGGAGCCCAAAGAGGGAGCCCCAAAGGTGGGCCCAGAGACCATCACCAAAGAGGATGAAGGGAGGGAGCAAAGGGCTCCGGGTGCCCGCGGGGAGCCTCTCGGCGCCCCTGGTGGGGAACAGATGCCAGGAGGAGGCCCGGCAAAGGGACCGCTGGAGAAGGAGGTGTCGGCACTGAGGCTGAGCAACAGCAACCTGCTGGAGGAGCTGGGGACGCTGGGGCGCGAGCGGCAGCGGTTGCAGGGGGAGCTGCAGTCCCTGAGCCAGCGGCTGCAGCGGGAGTTTGTGCCCAAGCCAGAGGCGCAGGTCCAGCTCCAGCAGTTGCGGCGGAGTGTGGGGCTGCTGACCGATGAACTGGCCATGGAGAAGGAGGCCACCGAGAAGCTGCGGAAGCGCCTGGCGTCCCAGAGCAGTGGCCTCCGAGGGCTGTGGGACTGCCTGCCCCCAGACCTGGTGGGCAAAGGAAGTGCGGGGGGCCCAGCCACCCAGCCCTTGGAGGAGCTGCAGGCCTGCATCAGCACCCTGGTGGCCAGGCACCGTGAGGCCCAGCAGGTGCTGGCTCGGCTGGAGGAGGAAAACCAGCGGCTGCGGGGGTCCCCCGCCCAACGTGGGGAGCCAGGCGCCTCGTCCAAGGTCCCAGCCTGCCCCGAAGTGGCCGCTTTGGAGCAAGACCTGGGGAAGCTGGAGGAAGAGCTGCGGGCCGTTCAGGCCACGATGAGCGGGAAGAGCCAGGAGATCGGGAAGCTGAAGAAGCTGCTCTACCAGGCCACCGAGGAGGTGGCTGAGCTGAGGGCCCGGGAGGCGGCCAGCCTGCGGCAGCACGAGAAAACTCGAGGCTCGCTGGTGGCCCAGGCCCAAGCGTGGGGCCAGGAGCTGAAGGCTCTGCTGGAAAAGTATAACACCGCTTGCAGGGAGATGGGCCGGCTGCGGGAGGCCGTGGCGGAGGAGCGCCGCAGGAGCGGCAACCTGGCGGCCAGGGCCGCGGAGCAGGAGCGCCAGGCGGGCGAGATGCGCGGGCGCTCGGAGCAGTTCGAGAAAACCGCTGAGCTGCTCAGAGAGAAGACGGAGCACCTGCTGGGGGCTTGCCGGGACAAGGAGGCCAAGGTGAGCAGCCAGGCAGCGGCGGGGAGCCACGAGGAACGCTTCTGTGCGTTTAGGGGTTTGCTCACCTGCATCTACCTTCGGTTCGTCGGATTAATGCACCCCCCCCCAAACAGAACACCAATCATCCGCAAAGACCACATCATGTTTTCTGGGTCTGAGGGGGTTTGGGGTTGAGAATGGAGGCGAGATACGTATAGAAGAGAGAAGGGGACTCAGGTATTAAAATTCGGGACTCTGGGTTCAGAAGCGGAGTGGGCAGGGCTGCCACTGGTGGGGTGCTATAGTTTCTTAGCCTTTCGACTTAAATATTCTATTAGCCTGAGAAGAGGTCTGATAATGTGGTGGGTTGCTGTGGTTTCGTGAGGGTTCTGAGGAGATGACTCAAGGGCTGACTGATGAAGAAAAGTAGACGAGATGATACCCCTCTTTGCCCCTCCCACTTCAGAGTACCGTTCTAAAAAGCTTTCCTCTGCCGAAGGAGGTGCAAGAGGGTGCCCATGCAAAGAAAAAAGGTTTGACCACCGCTGTGTTAGATGCTCGAGTTTCCTAATGATTGCTCCAAAGGCGAGTGTAAATCTACATGTATCTAGGTGCTATGTCTTATGATTTAAAAAAAAAAAATCAATTTGCAAACGAATTTAGTAATCCTAGAACTTCTCGTGAAATGAATGAAGTCAGACTTATTAAAATTTGCATACATGATCAAGTTTAAAATGACTCAAAACTGGAGGGAGTATACAATTTAGATACAAGGGTGCCTGAAAAAAAAGGGATGTTATACAGAATAGGAATCAGTGTGGGGCGAGGCTAATTAAAGATGGAGTTTGTGTTGGTGTCGAAGGAGAAGATGAAAGAAGATGAAATGGGCAGAAGAAAACAGCGTGGTGGTCTCTAGACTGAGATCATCTGGGTTCGAATTTCAGTTTCCAAACTTAGTGATCGATCTTCTAAGCCTCTGAGTCTCTAAGCTTCCATTTTTTTTTAATCTAAAAAAAAAAAAAGATAATGATAGGATTGTTGTGAGGATTATGTAAAATATTATATTGAAATTACTCAGAATGATTTTTCAAAACCGGTAAGTACTCAATCGAAGTTATTCTTACTGCCACCATTTCTACTGCTGCTGGTTATCATTCACCACAATCGTGCCTCAGCCTCACAAACCACAGAAGCTCATTTCTATTTCCCTCCGTGGTCAACAGTCAGAAGTAAGTTGGGATCTAATAAAGAGTGAAGAGAACGGACCAGGAATTCAAAGAGATTTTGGTCCAAACCATGATTTCCTCGGTTATTAGCTGTATGATTTCGATCAAGCACTTAACTCAGGCTCCATAACCACAAAATGTGAATAATGATACTTCCCGCCGAGAAGTACCTGTCTTAACAGAAGTAGAGCTGTTTGGAGTATTAAAAGAGACGAGGTGTGTCAAAGCATCTGGCACATGTTAAATCCGCGATAACGGGAAGTCAGCCTTGCTCCTGGTTGGCGGTGGAGTGAGAAATGACTCGGGTCTTCTGGTTCCCTTTCTCTCCTCTTGGCTTCAGATCAAGGAATTGTTGAAGAAGCTGGAGCAGCTTTCAGAGGAAGTCCTAGCAGTTCGAGGGGAAAATGCTCGCCTTGCCCTGCAGCTGCAGGTACGTTTTGGCCCACAGGGAGATGGACACCGCTAGAGAAGAGGGTGGGCGGTGGAAGTTATGTCTACGCGGGAGAGATCCTGGGAATTGCAGAGGCCTGGCTGGGCAGTGGTCCAGGCTGGGCCTGTGATGGACCAAGGGAGCCTACCTGGCCCAGCTGACCCCTCCATTCTATTGTTCTTCATGCTTGGGGGATCAGGGTGAGTGTGGGAGGCTGGGCATAAAACTCCCATTGATGCTCACTCCCAGGATTCCCAGAAGAACCACGAAGAGGTCATCTCCACCTATAGGAACCACCTGCTGAATGCTGCTCAGGTGAGCATGGGGGGAGGGAGAGAACGAGAGAGCTGGGCAGAGGGTAGTGCATTTGGGGTCCCTTCTCTTACCTGTACATACTTGTCATTTCTCAGAAGGCTGGAATTTAGATGTTCTGGTGCCAGGTCTCTGGACCTTATGAGGTAGATCAAGGGAAGTTGTGCAGAGTGTGAGGGGAGGAGGTGTTTGCCCCTCCTTTTCCATCCCCAGATCTACTCTAAGGCTTTTTCATGTCCCTTTCGCCCTTTCTCAGTTCCCTCCCAAGCCAGCTTATCCCTCACCAAGGAAGAACAGGTGGGTGGTTGCTCCTTTATTAGGAATAATAATAACTACACTGAATCGAACATTTGTGTACCAGGTGCTTTGCTTCGTATGCATAGTCGTAACCCTCACAGCAATCCTGAAGAGCAGACGTCCTCATCTTCCTTATAAAGATTAGGAAACGGCCATGGAGAAGTTAAATACTGTAAGCGAGGGCTCACACTAAACAGCATTCCACCATACCACAGAGTCTCTCCCTCGCCTGTCTCCACCCATGTTCTAGTCTTCATTTCCGGTTTCTTTCTTTCCTGCCACCTACAGGGCTACATGGAACAAGACGTGTACAATATCCTACTGCGAATCCTCAGCATACAGGAGTGAGGCGGCCTGGGCCCTGAGGGGGCTGGGGTTTCTCCCTCGTGAGTTGTGGTTTGAGGGTGATGAGGGAAGGAGCTTGGAGAAAAGACTTGGGAAAGGAGGTTAAGGATGAGCATTGGAGTCCCTTTTGGGGGAACCCTGTACAGCATAGAGTATTTGAAGTGAGGTTAATTGAGAAGCCACGTATGGAGAATCGCTGAGTCAGGGGTCAGTGAGCAGGTAGCTTCTAGGAGGCTGGCATGGGAGGGAGACTGAAAAAGAGAGCTGAGCGACTCTTCTGAGGTCTGGGGTAGAGCACAAAGCTGTTTCCTGGGGTGGGACTCTACAAACTCCGGAATCTCTCCTTCAGCCTACACCATTCACCCAAAGAGTAGTCATCCCCCATTCTGCTCTCTTACCCTGTGCTGGTGGCCATTTTCTCCAGTCCACATAGGCGGGATCCCCTTTAGCATCCTGGCATGTGTGGGAAGGGACTGAGGATGTGGAAGTGTGTGCAATTCCTTCTTAAATTTCTTCTTTCAGGAAGTACAAGCATCCTGGCTGCCAGAGGCTTCATTGGGCTGTGGTGGGTGGGGGTTTGGCCACCAGGGATAGTGTGGGTGGGGCTTCATCTGACATTATGGACCCCAGACCTGAGAACCTGAACCCTGGAATCAGCATGGGTACGGCCAGGGGAGGTATGGATGGAAGCCAGATCTGTGGAAAATAACGCGGGAGGCAGAATGGTATTGGGTTATCATCATTTTTTTTTCCGTTTAAAGGGGAGTGGAGGAAAGAATCTTTTTCATTCCTTTTTGATCACAAATGGCCCCATAAGTCAGCAGCTTTCAAACTCTGACTATGATCCATAGTAAGAAATACATTTTACATCCTGTGCGTACATATCTGAAATAGTAAGTGCCCTTACTATTTCTATTCTAGTCTATTCTCTGCTATGATATGCCACTGGAAAAAAAAATATTGGTCAAAATACATCCACTAATGGGTCAAGACCCACAGATTGAAAAACAACCTTCTGTGAAAACGGGGATTGAAACTCTTTCTTTCTCTTTCTCAAATCTGTCTCTTACCGACAGACACAACTCTAATAATTTTTCTCTACTTTGGGACTCCTGAGTCCACTATCTTTTTTAGGGAGGTGAAATTGAGACACTTGGATTTTGAGATGTACAATCTAAAATATTCTTTCGTGTATTAAACCGTGTGTTTAGATTTGAAGCACATGGTCTCGTGTGGTCAGTGTTCTTTGCCCCAGGTGCAAAGGGGGATGAAAAGTCTGATTCCTGGGAAAGGGATGCAGGATTACTCAGAGTTGGCTTCTTCCCTCCAGTTCTGTTCAGAATGAAAAAAAAATGTATCTCTCTTGGCCATTTCCCATGGGTGTCCGCCCCTTCCTGTCTGTTCACCAGCTAAACTGCTAGGTGAAAAGGAGGCAGTGAAGCACTCCAAAATCTCGGATTTCGGTTTGGTGGCCCAGACGCCGGTCCCTCCCCATTCTTTCTCTCAGCCCGCACCCTGCTGGGTTAGGCTGGGTCAGCCAGCAGCGGTTTGGCGGTAAAGAGACTGAACCGGGTTGAGAGAAGAGTGGGGAGGGGCTTCCGGGGAACACACAGGGCTGCAGAGTCTGGTTCCAGGGTTTGGCCAGGAAGAGAGCACCTATGTCCATCAGGTCCTAGAGAAGACGAGGGTCAGCACTGGGGTGCGGGTAGATGGGCACAGCGCTGCTTCAAGGCTGGGAGAATGGAGACGAGAGGGGTCGATGGAGAAAGGAGAGGGGTGCAGCTGCCAGAGGAGGAGCATCAAAAAGGTCCAAGTCGTTTCTATTAAGGGGAACGAACCTCTCTCTTTTCCTTCCTGCCCTTGGAGTTACCAAAGAAGGGAAAAGGACTGTTGCATTCCTCATCACACATGGGGTGCAGGGGGGAGAATGAAGAAACTGCCGAGAGAGGGGTCTGGAGAGGGGAGACCATTTGGCTAAGTTCAAGTCAGAGTCAGGAAACAGCTTTGGTGATGGTGGCCAGGCCCCGAGCCCCCTCGGGGGCTCCTGGAAGCTGATCCCCGAATGACTGAGCTGTGGGAAGGGTCGGTGATGTCAAGGTTATCACAGGAGTGGAACCTATCCTAGCCCTTGGTCTTCCCGCATGATCTCCCTCTATGCAACCCCATAAACTGTTACCGCAGCCTTCAGATGTAGGAGTTTATGGGTGAAGTTTGGCGGGCCACAACGGGGTTCAGATTGTCTTTGAATGCCCTCAGTCTGGAGCTCAGTCCTGATGTGCAGCTTCTCTCCTTTGTCTGGGAACATTAATTTATTAAACTGATTTTTAAAGGGTCCATTATGTGCTAGGCATTGGGGATGGAGAGTGACTGGCGCCAAAAAGGTTCTTGTCCTCATGGAGCCTGAGGATCAGAGTCAGCTGCCCCGGTTCCTAGTTTTCTAGTTCCTGTAGGGATGTTAGAACTTATAATCTCAAATTAACTGTATTAAAGCAGATCCCTACTTCATGAAATCACTAGGAATTAAGGTGAGGTTGACTTTCTCTCTTTTATAATTGACATACAATAAACTGCACCTACTTATAAGTGTACGGTTTGACAAGTTCTGACACATATATACACAGTCAAGATAATGAACATATCCATCACCCCCAGAGTTCTCCAGTCTCTTTTTTTAAAATCCTATTTTCCTTCCCTTGGAATCACTGAAAATTCTAGAGGATACGAACTAATCCAGAGCAACTTTTCTTTGATCTAGAAGAATGAACAGAACAAAAAAAAAAAAAAAAAAAGAAGAAAAATGAAGCCTCAAGTATTGGAGCCAACAGCTGGGATTAGC